AGCTTCGCGCGTCGGACGCCAATGCTCTGAAGAAGGTGGCTGATCCCTGGAGCAAGGATGTCTTCTATGCCACGCACCTCGAGCCGGTCAGTAACAAATTCTTCGCTGGGCCCTATGTGGATTTGTCAGACAGAGCCTCGAGGGCCACAGTGATTCCGGTTGCTTCTTCCCACCCGTCGGCGATGGAGATGAAGACCCTCTTCCCCGTTGCAAGGTCGGACTTCTCGGTGTTGGCGACACAGTGCCAACACCGAGAGCGTGTGGATGTCATTGGACTGGTCACGGAGCTCGAGATGCCGAGTACGATCAAGCTCAAAGCCAATCTCTGGTTGAAGGACGCATCGGGCAAGGAGATGCTGGTGAACATCTGGGGCGTCCGCTTCGTAAAGAGTTTGGTTGACGCGCACGAAGGTAGCGTCGTTCGGATCGACAACCTTTCCCTGCTGAAGAAGGAGAACAATTCCATCGAAGGCACCGCGGAACATTTCGTCGACAACGACAAGCACGGCTTTAGTATGCTGCACGTGGACCCCAAAGGCGATCGGGCACAGGAGCTTCGGAATCTGGGCACGTCACAAGCCGATCGCATCTCCGTTCCTTGGTGCCCTTCCTTGAGTGGTGGCGGCAGGCTGATCTCCGACTTGGAGCCTTGCTACGTCGCATGCGCCGCAACTATGAATGCATTCGGCAGCGCAAAGGAGCAGGGAGCAACGCAGGACTGCTTTCGTGTGTTTCTGATGTGTAGAAGCTTCTTTCCTGTGCCCCAACTTGCATGATTTTGCTTGGCGCAGGAGAAAGTGCCCACCGTGGAGGAGGTGTACAAGGACGAGGAGAAGCACCTGGGGAGGAAGCACGAAGAGGCGTTGCAAAGCAACAAACGATCTGGCAGCAGCCTCGTGCAGGAGACGCCATCGAAAGTGAAGTGCAGCGCTTGGGACATGAACTGAACCTCCTGGAAGCGAGGGTAGAGTCTTGCGAAGGTCCCCGTGCGGAGCAGTCGACGCTGTCTTGCGAAAACTGCATTCCGCCAGTGGGCTGCGTTGACTCAAACTCCTCGAAGCGAGGGTGGAGTTTTGCAAGGGTCCCCGTGCGGAGCAGTTGACGCTGTCCTGCGAAAGCTGCATTTCGCCAGTGGGCTGCATTGACTGAACCTCCTCGAAGCGAGGGTGCAGTTTTGCGACGGTCCCCGCGCGGAGCAGTCGACGCTGTCTTGCGAAAGCTGCATTCCGCCAGTGGGCTGTATCTAGCCTCTGCACGTAGCAGTGATGTTCTAAAGCCGCTGATTGAGTCTTAGATGCGCGATTCTCTCGGCCTTGACGCGACAAAAATGCTGTTTGTTCCATGGCGTCTTGTCAGGTAGGAGCGAGCTCAGGCAGCTTCATTGATAGCGAAGGCGAATCTTGGCTGTTCCTGCTCGCACTGCCATGTTCACGGATCCGAATGGATGCTGTCTTGCAAGAAAAAACAGACCGTGTGAGCTCGAACTGGTGCTTGCTGGTGCATGTCTCTCTACCTCTTAGGCTGGAAGTGCCTCATTGCGTAGCTTGGGTTCAAATTGCCTTTTGCTCTTAGTGTTTCGGCGGTGTCCTGGGTGGACGCTGTCTTGCGAAAGCTCAGTGTGCAGCTGGTGCTCTGGGTGAACGCCGTCTTGCGAAAGCTCAGTGTGCTGCTAGCCTGCCTTGCCGATGGCGCAGAAGAACAACTTGATTGAAACCACCTTGGAGCGCCTCACTAAGCAAAACCACGCTTCCATGAAGGTTTTGCTTCGCTACGTCTACTGTGAAATCAAGCAAATGCCCAATGCGAGAGGAGGTTCCTGGTGCAAAATGATTATGCGCTTCGTCGACAAGGAAGGCAAGGGTCTGTACGCGGAGCTTCGCGCGTCGGACGCCTCCACTCTGAAGAAGGTGGCTGATCCCTGGAACCAGGATGTCTTCTATGCCACGCACCTCAAGCCGGTCAGTAATAACAAATTCTTCGCTGGGCTCTATGTGGATTTGTCAGACAGAGCCTCGAGGGCCAAAGTGATTCCGGTTGCTTCTTCCCACCCGTCGGCGATGGAGATCAAGACCATCTTCCCCCTTGCAAGGTCGGACTTCTCGGTGTTGGCGACACAGTGCCAAGGGCGCGAGCGTGTGGATGTCATTGGACTGGTCACGGAGCTCGAGATGCCGAATACCTCCAAGCCCAAAGCCAACCTCTGGTTAAAGGACACGTCGGGCAAGGAGATGCTGGTGAACATCTGGGGCGACCGCTTCGTAAAGAGTCTGGCTAACGCGCACAAAGGTAGCGTCGTTCAGATCGACAACCTTTCCCTGCTGAAGAAGGAGAACGATTCCATCGAAGGCGCCGCGGAACATTTCATCGACAACGACAAGCACGGCTTTAGTATGCTGCACGTGGACCCCATAGGCGATCAGGCACGGGAGCTTCGGGATCTGGAACCCACGCAAGGCGATCGCATCTCTGTTCCTTGGTGCCCTTCCTTGAGTGGTGGCGGCAGGCTGACCACTGACTTCGGGCCCTGCTACGTCGCATGCGCCGCAACTATGAATGCATTCGGCAGCGCAATGGAGCAGGGATCAACGCAGGACTGCCTTCGCGTGTTTCTGTTGTGTAGAAGCTGCTTTCCCGTGCCCCAACTTGCATGACTTTGCTTGGCGCAGGAGAAAGTCGAAGTGGCCCTGCACAACGTCTGGCTCGTCGACATCGTTGGGGATCCAGTCTATACTCCGTGCAAAGTGTGTTCCACGAAGATCGACCCAACTTCCGGTAAGTGCAAGCGTGCCACCGATGGATGTCAGACGGAGCCTGCGGATGCCCAGCGAGTGCTGGCCACCGTGCACTTGGCGGACTGGACGGGGCAGCTCAGCAACGTGCTTGTGGGAGGACCGGAGCTGGCGGCGCTGGCCCGGGTCCGTGACGAAGAGAAGCTGGTTGAGTTGATCCAGTTGAAAGGCAGTGAGGCAGTCTGCTTCAGGGGGCCGTGCGACGCACGGCTGGGCACGTCGCACCGCCTCGGCCAACCGCGGGGGGGCTCCGCGCAGCAAGCTTCGCAGGCGAGTGTGACCGGCGGACTTTGCCCCGACCCAGTTTCAAGTCTTGGCAGCTCGCGCCTGCTTCGGGGAGGAGTACGACGAGGACCGGCGTCCGATGGTGAAAAAGGTCACCCGTCTTGCGACCGAGAAGCGAGATGGTGCTGTGCTGCCAGTCCAGTGTCCGATTGCCGATTTGATGTGCTCAGACATGGGCACCTTCTTCAAGTTAGGCGGTGTCTTCGCAAACTACGTGACCGTTGTGGCCTTTGCCGAGGACGAGCCCACCGTGGAGGAGGTGTTCAAGGACGAGGAGAAGCACCTGTTGACGAAGCACAAGGAGGTGTACTCGCACACGCTCGAGCGTGTAGGAGACAGAAAGGCATTCGGGATCGAGGCTTTTTGTCAATTCACAAATTGCTTCCTCTTCAACATGGCAGACGGCCTTCCGCGCTTGATCTTGGGCCGTGTGATCAAGAATGCTGCAACCCAGGAGGTGGTTTTGCAGGTGGAATGGATGTCGAAAGTGACACCTGAGCAGATCAAGACATTCTCGAGGGAGCGTGAGATGGTCTGGAACCTCCTCAAGGGCGGACCGGCGTTGCAAAGCAACAAACGACCTGCCAGCAGCCTCGTGCAGGAGACGCCATCGAAAGTGAAGTGCAGCGCTTGGGAAATGAACTGAACCTCCTGGAAGCGAGGGTAGAGTCTTGCGAAGGTCCCCGCGCGGAGCAGTCGACGCTGTCTTGCGAAAGCTGCTTTCCGTCAGTGGGCTGCGTTGACTCAAACTCCTCGAAGCGAGGGTGGAGTTTTGCAAGGGTCCGCGTGCGGAGCAGTCGACGCTGTCTTGCGAAAGCTGCATTTCGCCAGTGGGCTGCATTGACTGAACCTCCTCGAAGCGAGGGTGCAGTTTTGCGACGGTCCCCGCGCGGAGCAGTCGACGCTGTCTTGCGAAAGCTGCAATCCGCCAGTGGGCTGTATCTAGCCTCTGCACGTAGCAGTGATGTTCTAAAGCCGCTGATTGAGTCTTAGATGCGCGATTCTCTCGGCCTTGACACGACAAAAATGCTGTTTGTTCCATGGCGTCTTGTCAGGTAGGAGCGAGCTCAGGCAGCTTCATTGATAGCGAAGGCGAATCTTGGCTGCTCCTGCTCGCATGCTACATTCTTCCACGCAGCTGCTGAGTTAGATTCCGTTCTTCGTGTCTGTTTGGCGCCATGGATCCCCATCCTGGAGATGCAACTACATCCACGGTGGAAGGTCCGGACCAAGCGCAACAGGATTCTCGCGAGGATGGAGTTGGATCGGACACCAGCGCGAATGCAAACGTGTACCCCACTCCAGTGAATTATGAGGTCCTTGTGCATACATTTCAAGGTCAGCTGAACAACATGCTGCTGGATCAAGCGCGAATGAACGTGCAGTTAGCTGAGCTGATGCGTACCATGCAAGATTGGTCTCGGGAACACGAAAGGATCGTGCAGCTGCTGCGCAGGATCCAAGAAATTATGGACCCGGAGTTCGCGCCGGGAATGCCGTTGCACGGCTTCCGTGCGCCTTGAGGTCCCTTTGTTTCTGCAGGTCACTGACCTGTTCGAAGCAACGATAGTATTGTTTTGCAAAAAGTCCCCACGCGGAGCAGTCGACGCTGTCTTGCGAAAGCTGCATTTCGCGAGTGGATTGCGTGTCTGGCCTCCGCTGTCGGTTTCCAACCGACAGCGGAGGGGCTCTTCCGGGGCTCTTCCGGCATCCTAGGCAGCCTTGCAACGGAATGTAAAGCTGGGCGTGTCCTGCGACGCACATTCGAATCGACACCGACCTTGACATTCCTGCTTCAGCTGCACAACCGGCTCAAGCTCGGCGCGATGATAGCAGTTTAGATGTCGGCTCCCGTGGCCATCACTGTGGCGCTGCTATGGACCTCGGGTGCTGATAGTTTGGAGTTGCAAGGCCTGCCTGGAAATGTGAATCGTCTCATTGGTGAGTATCTGGATGCGAGGATGTCCTTAGGATACCCCGAGTACCTTTTCCCACCCAACGAGCCGGACTTCGACTTCCCGCAGATTCAAGTGAACACGGATGTGCTTTATGTAGTGTACTGGCTCCTTTGGCCTGTCTTGCGAGACCTGGAAAACAGGAGACAAGGTGACTGGAGACAAGGTGTAGTTTTTGTCTTGTGAGAAGGATATGCCGACCCTCTCAATCCTTGTGCTGCAGGTCACGGACCTGCAGCAAGCGAGGGTACGGTTTTGCAAACGTCTCACACGGAGCAGTCGACGCTGTCTTGCGAAAGCTGCCTTCCGCCAGCGGGCTGTGTGTCTAGCTCGCGGCCAAAGCTGCTGTCGCGCGAGACCCAATCACCTGGACCATTACTGTAGCACATGCATCATCCAGTGGTAAAATCACCGAGATTATCAAGGTAATCACGGAAACGTCTGAGGACGAGATCGTGGAAATGATCAGCCTGGAGAATGGCAGGAAGTGAGGGATCGCGTGGAGCGAATTGTCGTGACCGGAGTGTTCTCTCTGCTTGCTTGTATTGACAGCTTTGGCCCGAGAGACCTAGTTCCTTCGAGCCTGCTTGCTACTTTGCACATATGGATGCCCTGGCCGCTTCTTCGTCTTCTGCTTCTTCTGCTTCGTCGGCGATGTCAGATGCGGAAGAAACATTTATTCGAACTTGGCAGCTCGAAATTGCAAACAAATACGAGCATGGACCTTGGTCGGACATGGACTACATTGTTTGGGGCGAGTCCTACAACTTCGGGGACATCTCGGAGTGGCCTCTCGACGCTGTGGTGGTGAGCTCCGAGCCCGGCGAGAAGTGTCTGCTCGGCAGCTTGCGCTCGGCTGCGGACCTCCACAATGTGGAGTTGCACACGAAAGTTCCTGTTACAGTTGTTGTCAGCATTTGTTGGAAAACAGAGATGCAAGTGAAAGGAACTCCGAGAGATTGGAACAAGCACTTCCTCGATTGCGGTGTGCGTCACTTGCAAGTCGAGCTGGACGACCACCAGGTCAGGTACAGCCAGCATCCGGACTGGTTCTTGGAATGCACGCAGAACTGCACCCAAACTTGGAAAGGCATGGCTGATGCTCTGTCGAGTGCACGCACAGCCTGCAGAAAGGAGGGCAAGGACTTCAACGTGCTCTTCCACTGCTTCGGCGGCATCAATCGCAGCCCTGCGGCCCTTTGCGCATGGTTGATGCAGGACACAAGGTGCAGCGCGGCGGAAGCTGTGGGGCGCATTTTAGCGGCTCGACCAGCTCTAAGAGCGTGGAGACGCCGCGACTACGTGCTCTTGGCTTTGCACCGCCTTCAGTAGTTTCCCTAGTTTCGCTCGTTGCTGCATGGCTTCGACGCTGTCTTGCGAAAGAGCCAGCGTGGACGACGCCGGCGGTTTGCACCGCCTTCAGTAGTTTCCCTAGTTTCACTCGTTGCTGCATGGCTTCGACGCTGTCTTGCGAAAGAGCCAGCGTGGACGACGCCGGCGGAGGACAACGTTTGATTGTCTACTTACAACCCTTGCAGGACAGGCGTGGCTGGGTAGATATGCAAGGTATAGCATGGCAGCGATAGAATCCTTTAAAGTCTTTCGTCCTTGATGCTGTACATGTCAGGCCTAAGAGGGACGTGAGGTCTCCACAGCTTGACGATTTGTAGACGAAGCTTTGGCTCCATCCTGTTCATATTTGCCAGTCGACGCTGTCTTGCGAAAGCTCGGTGCCTCCCCAGATGCATTCCGGAGCCATGACCATTCCCGTCGTGACGGAGGTGCGAGTCTACGTGGGTTTGACGCCCGTTCAATCCGATCAGGTGTTGGCCGGACAGGCAGTCGTGGGTTCCTTCAAGAACCGCTGGGGACTTCGTCCTACCGCCGTTTTGGCATCTCGGCTGTGCTTGCTGTGGCATGCCCGTGCTAGCACATGCAAAGTCTGCTGTTGCTAGTATAACGGTCGGTCGAGGCCATTCATCGGTGCCTGGACTCGGACATGACGACGTGGGATGGAGAAATTGCCACTGGACGTTCGGGTGATCCTCACACCGTCAGAGCTCACGCTATCACCTTTACGCCGATGGGGTACACGACGCTCATGGTGTCTTGCAATAAAAGTGCTGCATTGACATTTGCGTGTGGAATAACAACCTCGAAAGCCTGGGTGTCCTTGCCTTAACAATTCTCTTGTCGCTGCCACTGAGGAAATGGGCCTGTTGGAAAAGACCCCCCAGAACCCCGGATGGTTTCGCCTTCACATGCCGCTTCGTCGTGAGTCGTTGGGCGCAGACGGCACACTGCTGTTCTCGATTGAAGCGCAGTGGCAGAGCGCTTAGTGCCGAGCGTAGATTTGCGCCTAACATTAACGAATCGACGCTGTCTTGCGAAAGTTCGGTGGCGCGGTAGAATAGGCTGTGTGATGAGAAGAGGCTGTGACACAAAAAGAAGGATTCCGAAAGGCGCGGGTTCTGCACGATGTGTAGCTCTACGCAGCCCCCTTGCATCAGGTGATTTCTCGCGCTCTACGAGAACCTCCATCGCTGCTTTGCTGCACGAGCCTTACTCTAACACTTTAAGCACGCGGGCGTTGGAGACGGTTGATATTGAGTCGAGCTTGATCGAATCTTGTGACATGTCTGTGTTGTTGTGCACTTGAATCAACAGAGGCAGAGTGCCGGTCGATCTTCGAATGTTTGCCTTACGTCGGGAGCCGACCCCTGCCCCTTCCGGGTTGCTTCCACACCGTTGGCCAGGTGTGAGGCGTTCGGTTTTGCTTTGCGCATGGTGTTGAAGTCCAAGTTGTACTTGTCTCTCAACGATTGAAGTGAACGAATCTTTGACTTGCCAGCTCAGCTGTTATCATAATATTTCCCTGTGAGCATGGCGACCCACCTTGGCCGAGTGGGGTGGGTTTCAGCAAATGGGGGAGGCCGCTAACCCATGATTAGGCTATATCTCTTTGTGCTGAGCACATGCTTTCTGTTCTCTTGGATCGACGACAGAGGCAGAGTGCCGAGGCAGAGTGCCAGTCGAACCTCTTCGGGGTTGCCTTACCTAAGGAGTAAACCCCTGCCCCATCGGGGTTGCTCCCCACACCATTGGCCAGGTGTGAGGCGTTCGGTTTTGCCTTGAGGCCAACCTACCCCAGGGCAGGGGGTAGATGACAGCCGGGCTTATGGGCTAATGCGCCGTGCTGGGGCAAAGGCTGGATTTTCTGCGACCTTGGATCCTGTTGTCCGGGCCAGACTTCCAGGTTCCGAACAAAGAAGGGGGGCCGTCCGTTCTTGGGACGTGGTTGTGTTATTGAGCAGAGCACCTTGCTTGGCTTGCTGTTCGGTTGTGTTTGTCACGAGTGCCAACATGTTCAGAATGGAGTTTGGTGTATGTTGCTCTACCAAGCGGCAGCTGCATGCCCGCCAATTTTTGGCAGCTACCGACACACTGTTGGCCGGGTGTGGAGCGAGGGCAAGGGCACTGGGGTCCTGTAGTCTAGGGGGGGGTTGGGGCCAACGGCCAGCGGGCATCTGGCTATGACATCTGGACACATGCGCTAACGTGCCAGGTGGCCCCTCCCCAAAAATGACGTAGCCTCGGTGACCCAAGCTCTTCCATGGGAGGCCGAAGAATGGTGTTGCTTGCGCATAGTCATGTTCAGAATGGGGTTTGATGTATCGTGTTCTAACAAACG